CGGGGGGCAGCCGCCGCCGCCTCCGCACCACCACCACCACGAGGCGCACTCGGACGAGGACACGCCGACCTCGGACGACCTGGAGCAGTTCGCCAAGCAGTTCAAGCAGCGGCGGATCAAACTGGGATTTACCCAAGCGGACGTGGGCTTGGCCTTGGGCACCCTCTACGGCAACGTCTTCTCGCAGACCACCATCTGCAGGTTCGAGGCGCTGCAGCTGAGCTTCAAGAACATGTGCAAGTTGAAGCCTTTGTTGAACAAGTGGCTGGAGGAGGCGGACTCCTCGTCCGGCAGCCCCACCAGCATAGACAAGATCGCGGCGCAGGGGCGCAAGCGGAAAAAGCGCACCTCCATCGAGGTGAGCGTCAAGGGCGCCCTCGAGAGCCATTTCCTCAAGTGCCCCAAGCCCTCCGCCCAGGAGATCACCTCACTGGCGGACAGCCTCCAGCTCGAGAAGGAGGTGGTCCGCGTGTGGTTTTGTAACAGGAGACAGAAAGAGAAACGCATGACTCCCCCGGGAGGGGCTCTGCCGGGAGCCGAGGACGTGTATGGGGCCAGCAGGGACACGCCGCCGCCGCACCATGGGGTACAGACTCCTGTGCAGTGAACTCCGCCTGGGGCGGAGGAGGAGTGGGCTGGGGGTCGGGGGGGCCGAGCCCCGGCCTCTTCCCTCTGACCCGACTCCTCCAACCCTTTTGATTGTTTCCCTCCCCTTTAAAACAAAGCAAAAAGCAGACAAAAACAAACAAAAAACAAAGAAGGAAGGAAGGAAGGAAGGAAGGAAGGAAGGAAGGAAGGAAGGAAGGAAGGAGACTGCACTGAACTATGCTTGAAACAGTAGCGGAGTGGGTAATGAATGAGGGTGTGTTTTGACCTTTACAGGCGAGTAACCTGGCAATGGAGTGCAGTGAGTATATGGAGAGATGTGTGAGAGATGAGAGCTGCCTGCCCCTTCCTTCCACCCGCTGGCAGGCAGGCTCGCTGGCATGCGCGCGCTCTCCCTCTCTTCTCTTTCTCTCTCTTTCTCTCTTTCTCTCTCTTCCTTGCAGCCAGGCACAGGCCGAGAGACTCCAAATGTGAGAGGAGCGAAGGGGAAAGTTAGGCTTGACTTAGCGGCTGAGTCCTTGGGAGATTTAGGCCAGGTGCACCTCCAACACAAGAAAGATGCTTTGCCACACACATTAGTTTTGGCCTTGGTTTGGGGAGGGAGAGGGCAAATGTGAAGGCAAGAAGGAGGGGTTAAAAAGGCCAAGCTGATGAATTTGTGCTGCAAGGAAATAGATGTTTGCCCATTATTCATCTCCTTCTCATTCTCAGCTGGGAAATGATTTGCATTTTTTACCTGGCCCAGGGTAGCCATCCCTGTGGACCTGGCCTTTCCTCTTTGTATGGATGTCTTGAAGTTTGAGGACCACCTTTGGTGGAGGTCACGTTTAGTTTGCTCTTTCTACCACCTTTAGCCCACAGAAAGGGGAAGCTGGGCTCTTTAGTCTTGCAGAAAGTAGTAGAAAGAGGACCAGG